AAGTGGAGAAGAGCAACCAAAGCAGCTGACCCCAGGACAGTCTGGGACTAAGGCTGTGAAAAAGAAGAAGAATAAGAAGAAGTGGTGGGCTAATAAGATCACATAAACTGAATTCTGATTTCAATGCTGATATGACTTAAATCTATATTCACACTAAATCTGACACTGATGTGGCTGTCTCTGCACTCTGTAATTACAGCGCTGACATTAAAACCCTGGCTGACACAAAATGTCCTTCATCTAAACTGCGACCACACTGTGGTCATGCTTCTCAGCTCAGCATGCTTCTGCCATCAGCTTCGTAAAGCTGGTGCAGTGATCTTATCTGCGGATGGCTCTGTACTTGATTTTCAAACTCAATTAAAGAACTTGGGCATGATATGTGATTCAGGCCTGACGATTGGCCCACGTTTGGAAAAGATTGCAGACACATCTCAGAAAGAATCGCTAGGGTACGTCCTATGTTGTCCTATGTTGTCTCTGCCTGTTGATTACTGCCACACCCTGCTCACTGAGTATCTATATCTACACCGAACAAACACTGTGGAAGACAAAACCCTGCTTTCCTTGAAGACACAGCTGGATGAGCCCTCTAGTGAGAAAAGGAGGCTCTTTTTTACACCAACACGCTCAGCCCTGTTGTCGATTTAGCACCTGCCCGGGCTGTTTGTGCCTCGGCTGACTGGACGTGCCCACTGTTCTGCAGATCAACACTGAATTACAACAGTTTCACAGAAGTGCTCATTTACAGGGAACTGTGAGCTCAGCCTACTTCCTCATGGTCTTGCAGTTGTGTTGAGAGTTACTCATTATCATTCTCACAACGATGACGTGTCTCTTTCGCGATCAGATCTGATAAGCCGCTCGCTCTGATGAAGAGCAGACGGATGATCTGATTATCTGAGCAGCACTGCAGTTTGGTCTGAGCACACAGCTCTGTGGCACTCAAAGTGTTCCTGAAAGATCCAACATCTGCAGCTCATCTGTCTGCAATCACTCAAAC